GGTCAGAGTTGTGATCTGTCGAAACTTGCGGCGAACAGTATTGTCAGCGGCATTGAATGGAACATACACTATAAATGAAATATCTGCAGTGCGGAACGCAGTATGGGAAAATTTCTGGAGGCACTCAAAATCAAGCGGTGCCAGAATTATAAGCGTGGGAGTGGAGCATCAAAAGCCAGATGGAAAATACGAAGTCAATAGCAAGCCACAAACAGCTAATAAATGCTATTACTGAAAAAAATTGTTAGCTGCGAAAATAAACGCAGCCTCTACACAAAAATTAATCCCGGTATCATGAGTGTACCAGCATTGGCTTGTTTCCTAGATTTTTGGACTGTGGAGAGCCTGCAGATAAAATAACAGCAAGAAGGTCAAAAATAGGATGAGGAATTAAGGGAATGCATAAACGGAACAGTTGATAAATGTTCGACCCTAACAGAGCTCAACTTCAGAAAGAAACCCTCATATACTCGTATAACAGCATTTAGGTTGGAAGAGAATCTAAATAGAGAAATTGCAAATTTCTATAAGTTGAACAAGTTTAATCGGAAAGACAAACCAACCGAGTCTCTTCAGTTAAGGAGACTAAAATGATTAAGTAGATAGTTGCTGTTCCATTTGTTTCTAGTTGCAGATGAATGTCACTTAACAAACGAGCTAAGAATTCGAAACTAGAAAAAGTAATAATCTAAACAACAGAATATTATCAAGTTGCAATTAAGTTTTACAAGAAAATCGGTTTTACGTCAAAAATAATGATACGGATTAAAACGGCGAAAATGCACTGTGTAAAAAAATCAAAATTTAAACAAAGGATCGTTCAACTTATCTATGTGAATAAAAGCCTATTTCTCACTTCACACAGGCAGATCTATTGCACCGTCCCTTTGCTTGCAGATGCACAGGGAGAGCATTTAAACAGATAACGGCTCCATGACATTAGAGCGCATGCAATACTTAAGACCCAGGACAGTAACTCAATCTTACGTTGAATAAATGTATGTTCAACCAAAAAATCTTGACAAGATGCATGTGCAAAAAAAATGAAACCTAGATGTTTTGGGGCACTTTCGATACCCCCTGGATATATTATATTAAAATAATGATGTCAGATTGAAGCGGCGAAGATCGAATTTGTGAATTTCGCAGATTGAATTACTATTAGCAAAACCTCACCGCTATGTTAATACTTTCGGAGTAAAATGCCCAGCTTCCATCAAACGCGAAATTTGTTCACAAGGTGCTGGCTGCCTCACCATTACAAACGACGACGTTTCGATGTTACTTCTTGCGTTAAACACGTAATAAATCAATTGAAACAACTTCAGCAAACCGTCAGACAGACATTACTTAATTTTCTAATTAGCAGTTAGCAACTTATGGCTGATCACTAACAATATTGTCTTTCGCCTTTCATCAGTATCGTCGTACCGGATTGTTGATGCTACACCTTCTCTGTCACAAGTGAGCTATTAAATTTTAGCAAACTCAGTTTATATTTTGTGGCTTTCGCTAATGCTTAATTGCCAAAGATCTATTAGATCAGACAAGAAGGAACCTCGTAAACAAAGATGAAAAAGTCAATATCTATCATTTCTGGCGAAACTTATGTAAGATTAAGCAAATTAAAAAATATTTCTAGCTACATCTTGTCCATTTCATATTACCGTACCTTTCCCTATTAAATTGCAGTCAAAAATTCTGGTAAAGTTAGTCGAAACGTTTGCGCCACGTGTAATATAAATGAAATCATATTTGTTCTTGTCTTGGTTATCCGCTGTCCGTTAAATTCACGGCATACACGGCAATGCTGTACGACGACGGCAGTTAGCACATTCTGCTCCACACCATCAGCGAAGTGCTCCCAGTTGTATTGAGGACGTTACGGAGACAGTGGAGGTTGGACATCCTTTCGCACTGTGCAGCCGGTTTTTTAAGCTGTAGATAGTTCGCATCTGAATGTTAGCGGTTGGTAAATCGGGTGAATGCATTCTGTTGTATACCAGGAAAGTTATGATGTTCATGATATTCCATGTTTACTGATTTCATGTTCGGTTTATGTTTCCGCTGTGTCATCTTTCATGCTGAGCAGACGCTGAATCACGAAGTTTAGATATTTTCATAATTTCGTTTTTATTTTATGAAATTGTGAATCCTTACCGAAATGCCACTAGCCAAAAAAAAAATTTCCTGACTTGACCAAATCAAAGGCCTTTCGCCTAATGCCAGCAGTCGTCGTCCGGCAGAGATAATTGGAATTCCAAAATTTACGATTCCTCGTTTGATATACCAACAGGAGAAACCGCGAGAAGACTGGATGTGCGATGGAAAACAGAGAACGACCGAAAAGTGAGAACATGAAGGTAGTGATTCTGAAGTGACGACGCTCTAAATCAGTGATTCTCCGTTCTGACTAGACGAGGAGTGCGCTTCAATGGTACAATCTTATAAATGAACTTGGAGGAGCTATTTAAGGGGCTGGACAATGACATCGATAGTTGGCTGTCTCGATGGGAATGTAACCATCAGATTAAATTCATGAAAGGACATGGTGATAAAGGGAATGCCAATGTCGTAAGTGTAAAAAAATGGGAATCCAAGAAAGTACCCGGCTTGCTTCAGAATTTTTGCGAAGATGATATCTACAATGCTGACGAAATATGCCCATTTTGTTGTGCTACGCAGGATGATTCTCTCCAATCAATCGTTAAATCTACCGAACTATAAGAAAGCAATGGATTATATAACTGTGCAATGTTGTTTCAACATGTCCGGAACTGATAAAAGAAGCTCTTGGTTATTAGGGGAAAAGTGCTAAGCCCCATTGCTTTAAGTGGCTAAGATGGGAGAATTTACTGGTCGACTATGCTAATAATAATGCATGGAAGTTGACTGAAATTTTTAAAAAATGATTAATT